GTAATGAGCACAGGTGCTGGCTGCAAGGTGACCGGGAACGTCACGTCAGGGAGCCCTCCCAATCGTGGTTCCCACTCGTATGTGCTCCTCCCAGAGACGCTGGGCCCGCAGCCACCTCGCCGCGTCAGTGGCGTCATCCCAGGGTCAGCGCCCGCTGAGGCGTCGCCGGAGGCAGAAGGCACGAGCCTCTGGAAACCCCCAGTGGAAAGCACAGACTCATGATGACTCTGCAGCTGACAAGTCCTCTTCCGTCTCCCTTACAGAAGGCTGGGGGCAGCTGACAAGGGGACAACACTGGGAGACGAACCCATCAGGGCCCTGCAGCTGCGGCTCGTGTGCGTGTGTCTGTGCACGCACATGTGTGCATGCGTGTGTGTACATGTACGTGTGGGGGGGCACATCTGAGGTGGAAGGGGAGGGGACAATGCGACGGAACCTCTGAGGTGGGAAGGGACAGGACACTGTGTGGAGAGGACCTCTGAGGTGGGAGGGGAGGGAACAGTGGTGGGACCTCTGAGGTGGGAGGAGACCATGAATGGAGGGGACCCCTGAGGTGGGGTGGGAGGGGACAGTGAATGGNATGAGAGGTCATAGATCGGCAGATGGACAGCATGACTGAAAGATGAGGTGTGGATGGAAGGACGGACGGAGGGATGTAGGGCTCGATGGGCTACTCCAAGGCAGTCCCCGAGCTGTGTCCCCGTGAGAAGTAGCCCCGTACCGATTTCGGCGCCTCACTCCCTGACAGGAATCCCTCGTTGGTGTCCGTCCACCGCTCAGGGGCCCCGTGTGTGTCCTTAGACACTGTGCTCACCCCGCCCGGCTGAAAACACCAGCTGGGTCTCGCAGGTCTCGGGGGTCTAGGGCTCCCTCCCCCACGGCTCTGCTTTCCCCCTCGCTTATCCTCTGAGGACCTGGCCCGTTTGACAGGAGCAGAGAAGGGACGAGGACAAGGAATCCCACTTCACGGATGGGCAAAGTGAGGCTCAGAGGCTTGGAAGCACATAGCAGCGGATGGGTAAGTGGGATGGTGGTAACCGGGGGCTAACCCTGAAGCCACTCTGTCCATGCGCACGAGGTCCCGGCAGGGAGGGCTTGGAGGCCTGCCTTNAGACCATGAATGGAGGGGACCCCTGAGGTGGGGTGGGAGGGGACAGTGAATGGAGGGGACCTCTGAGGGGGGAGGGGATGGGACAGTGTGGTAGGGCCATCTGGTGTGGGTGAGCCCCTGTGGAGTGCATACTGCCCTGGGCCTGCACCGAGGGCTGGACTCAGAGATGCCAGGAGCTACCAGGGCCCAGCACTAGCTGGAGCAACCATAGTTGGAATCATCTAGAAAACCGTCCTAAGATAAGGGAGTGAGACAGGTTGAGAAGACTTGAACATTTATAATTAAGCACCTTGTAAGGCAAAGGTGATGTGCTTCTTATACAAATTATAAATAATAAAAAAAAAGCATATAGAAAAAGAAGTGCGGGCCCCCTTGGCTGGTGGGCTGGGCTCTTTGGTTGAGCGGCGGGCGAGGCCTGGGGTCTGGGGTCCGTCAGAGCCCCCCAAGGTCATCTGCCAGGAAGGCCAGCAGATAACGGCTGACATGCCTGTCAACGATGATGGGCGAGAAGCCAAGGACACGCCGGGCCCCTGGCAGCCCCTTAGGGTCTGGAAGACAAGGGGGGAGGAGAAAATTCGAGAACCAGTGGTGAAGGTGAACTCCATTCTTCCAGTCTTGCTGGGCCCTGCGGGAGCTGCGGCGGGACAGGAGTTGGTACGGTCACTCCGTCCTACTTACAGTCTCGGTGTTTGAGGGGAAAAGACAAGAATTAAGGCAGACTCTGGAGCC